ACAATATCAACCAGATAAATGTTGAGAATAAAGAAAAATATCAATTTGGACATAATTAATTGATCAAATACTAAACTCTTTGAACTACCATTACAGGGGTTGTATAGTTGACAGCAAGGAGAATTCCACATTTGATCTGGGACTTATAGGGTTAAATGTGATTTTCCCAATGTAATCGGATACGCAGCACATGCTTCCATCAGTCTTTGTCATTAGCAGTAACCATGTCTTGCGTCAAATTTTAGCACTATGCAAGCCTGTTGAAGATGTGCTTTGATTTTTTTTTTAACAATATTCTACGATTCGTTGAATCATCAGCCAACTTCCTGAATGAGAATTATTTTATACACCCTATTTTATTGTACACCCTAACATCAGCATACATATTCTCCATACTGTTCTCTATACATTTCCTACAGTGCTGATGACGAGAATTTGTTTAACAACCAAAACCTTCTACAGTTGGTGATCATTTCCTTTGTTTCTACAGTTGGTGATCATTTCTCCTGACCTTAATGTGTGATTCAAGAGTGATATTGTAAGGAGAAATTAAAAGCACATCATTCCTAAAGGTCAAAGGGTTAACCCACTAACTCCCTGATCAAATTTGTAATTCTCCTAACTGTCAACCATACAATTCTTATAATGTTCGTTCAGAGAATTTAGTATTGGATCAACCAATTATCCCAAAAGTGATATTTTTCTTTATTCTCATCACTCATCTGGTTGATAGTGTATTGACATTGTAAGGAGAAATTCTGTTTTGGTCACTTGTGGGAGTGAAAGGGTTAACAGTCACCTGTCCACCCTTGATGAAATATCAGACATATCTGTTTGCGTTATAGACACATTATCTCACCTCAATTCTTGATAACATCTTTGGGTTAAATATGTACAAGCCAGCATTTATTTTGTTTGACACATAAACTTGTGGCTTTTCCACAAACTTGTCAATCCGTCCTGTTTTGGCATCATAAACAACCACACCATATTTGGAAGGTTCTTCAACTTTAGTGACCTGTTTTCATGAAAGATAAAATTAAACCAAATGCCCAGTACATGGTGAATTTTGGCATTTTTTGATACACTGAATTAATATGAAGACTCTAAAAGATTCACATACCGAACAAAACGAGGAAATTTTCTAAAAAAAAAAGTTGATAGGTCATGAAGTGTAATAAGTCATAAGGCAAGTGGCCCAAGACCACTGGTATTTTTCAAAGAGGCAAGTTTCTAAAGAAACCGAGGCACTTTGTTGCTGGGATTGTAAATTGGCCACTGTAAAGAGTTTTTAAAAAAGCTGATGTTTCAAGAGTTAGGCCTTCCTCTGAGCAAATGACTAAAGGCTGATGCTTGAAACATCAGCATTTAAACTCTTTATGGTGGCCAATTAATGCTATCAACACAGCTGATAATATTAAATTACCCCATTATACTAATGTTTATCCCTGAGTGAAGGTCCCAATTGGGATGATAATTCAAGTGTTTCTTGTCACTTTTCTGCTTAACATTGTACCAATATTGTACAGAGAAATTCTATCTTGGTCACTCATGGGAGTTAAAGGGTCAATTTTCTTACCAATACACAACAAAAAAGTCAATCAACAAGTGTGTACAAGTAATTTTCGTTCAATTTCTTTTTCTCTTTTAAATCAAAGTATATTTTTTTTGCAATGAAAAACCTGACAATTCAAATTCAAACAGATATCAGAATTTACCACTATCGTGCCCTCTTTTCCATGATCTCGGTGGAATTTTAACATTTGTTTAAAAGGGAAGTCACACACAACATCACTGTTTAACACAAAGAAAGGCTCCTCGTCAACTGTGAGGTGATCTCTAGCTAGAGCCAAGGGACCAGCTGAAAGGAAAAGTTCTGATTAATTTTCTGCAAATTGTTGCATTTTCAATTTCAGAGAAATTTCACAGAGATGGTACCAGTGATTGTAAAGCCTTCTAGTCCCACAATGTCAATATTAATTCTTGTTACTGTATGCCATACAATTCTTTCAAAATTAGTGTTAGGAATTTGGTATTGGATCAACCAATAGATATTTTTCTTTATTCTAATCACATGTTTGCTTGATATTGTATTGATATCGTAAGGAAAAATTCTGTCTTGAATCTTTAACTCATGGGAGTTAAACAATTAATAAACAGTTCTCTACAGTGATCCTCAGAGATGTTTGAGCACATTTAGTTAACTGGTTTTTTGTTTTTCTGTTCTTCTTTTTTCTTTCTATATTTTTTCATTTTTTCTCTGTTTTTCTTTTCTTTTCCTTTTTTTTAAGCCTTTTGTTTTTTGTTTTTTGTTTTTTTCTGCCTTTTTTCCCCTTTTTCACTTTTTTCTTGTTTTGTTTTTGTTTTTTTTTTAGTTCTTTTGTTTTGTTTTTGGTGGTTAATTTGTCATAGTTTTTGTCTACTAATTTTAAAAATATCAGTAAACATTTTTTTTGTAGGTACACAACTAAGGAAAGCTGTTATATGGTAGACACTTTGATATTAATCTTACCAGTTCCTAAAGGCTCTTTTTCTTGTGAAATTGTGATTGTAATTCCTAGCTGTAAAAAAGAAAAAAAAGGAAGAAAATACAGAAGCTTTAATTGAGAAACACTAAAAAAAAACTGCATTAGGGCCAATGCGACGGCAACAGCAAGATCATAAAAAGTGCTACATCCCCATGTATGTGGTGGTGAGTTGCAAAACAGAAAAAAAAGGCAAAGAGGGGATCTCATTTATGATATGAGACAATACTTTTAAGTTAAGTTGGGCTGGACTGGAAAATGTTTGGCTCTTGGTCAATGATTAACGGCCAAATATTTTTCTTTCCAGCCCTTCCAATCAGTCAATAAGTCCATATCATGTAGGGGGCCAAGCAACTCCTTCTTTTTGGCCTTTACAAATCCAGAAAACAAACCGGGCATTGTTTCAAGGGTCTTATATCTAAAAAAAGTAACTCTGAGTCACTGTAATGCAAGTATTAATTGGGGATAGTTTTTAGACTCTTGAACTGGGTTAGACCACTGCATGCATGGTTATATCATTTGGTGTATGTGAAAGGAGTTCTGTCTCCAAATCTAAGATGCAGCTCTGTGCAGTACATATATTACAAAGTTTTCAATTTGTTTAGCATAGGGTGGTGAAATGAGCAGATTTGTCTTAAACAGACAAGCTGTTTGATACCTCCAGAGGGACATTACAGTCTAAACTTCTCCTAAACCCTTTAACTCCCAAGATCTGATTGTCTAACTCCAACACATTTCCTTATAACTTAGTTATGAGAATTTAGTGTTAGATGATAAGTTGGAGTTTTCTCAATACCTGTTTGCAGGACAATGTTTGGATATAATAGGGAGAAATTCCATTTTAATCACTTCTGGGAATTAAAGGGTTAAGCTCCCCAATCCCAGGTTTCATATTTACAGTTGATATTCTCTCATAACTATGGGAGAAAAATATGTGTTTTAACTTACCCTATTTTCTTGTTGTTTCATGGCTTTTTCTAACATTTCTGCACGGTAACTGACTGCAAGAATGATATGTTTCACTCCAGCCTTTAAGGAGGTAATAATTAAATTATCAGATGAAAATCGTGCAACCTCTCATGTCTAGGATTTTAATAATCTGAAAATCTACTTTAACAGTTTCCACTTACCATTTTCCCATTTTCTTGTAAATAAAAAGGGATTTGTCGTTATGTCAAGTGACACCCTCCAGCTGATAGAGTCATCAATTCGCATAGCCAGTTTGAAGGATGATGTATTAAAATTATGACAAATTGTGACATGATATTCATTGAGAGTTAATCTGTTCAGTTTTTATAACAGAGAATACATTGTTGACCTAAATGACAAAATTGCACAGGATTTTCAGTTCAAAGATGAGAAAGAAATCAGAGAGAAAGTGAGTGCACAATCAGAACGCATGTTTCTCTGAGAATCCCAATAGGAGATTTATTTAGGGATACAATGTTTTAACAAAGTATCTACTGTTTTTGATGTCAATGAATAAGGAATTTAACCTGAATTTGGTTCTTGAAGTGATTTCTCTTCAATCAAATAATATTCTAACGACTTTCGATTGAAAAGAAGGAACAAAAAAATAAGTACGGTTGCTCGAGTAGTATTATTCCCTCCAAAAATATTCTAAGGGGCCCATATTCAAAGCAAAATTATACTTGAGAAAAATTCCCCAACACTCGATCAAATAAGAGATCAGTGTCATTTTTGCTGAATAATTTTATTCTTTGCGCATCTCATCCTTGAAAAATCAGCGTGGAACGAAATATTCGACGGTAATTTAAGCTAATCACTTAAAATCCCGTGATCTAGCCAACTCACCTCAGCTAAGGCTTCAACTTGATGCATTACCATTGGTTTGTTACAAAACTCGACTAATGGCTTGGGTTTTGACAACGTTAGCGGTCGAAGTCTTGTACCATATCCTCCTACGAGTATTAGAGCTTTCATCCTCTCAATCTAATCGACCGTTAAACGATCCTGGAACTAGAAAACATGAAAGGATGTGGAAAATGAGAATGTTAACCCCACGAAGCGCCTTGCAACGTGTCGAGCAGTTTCTTGTAAGAAGAGTTTATTCTTTGATCAGATCAGGTACAAAGATTGATTGAGAGTAAAGAAGGGAAAATGTTGATTTTGTTTTATCTTACTGCATTGAATATAAGACTTATAGCCTAGGTTGAAAATTAGAGGTCTTTTTAAGGAATTTTGATTATTTTATTACGTATATATCATTTCATTTGACTGATTACAATTCTAATTCTTTATAGTAATTGTGGGTTTGTCTACCGCTGACATACTATGCTGTCACGAAATGTCACTACCAAGGTAATTTGTAACGCGCAGGAAACATCTAGCAAAAGAAATAAAACTATAAGCTTATCTTGAAAAAAAATAACAAATCATGATGAAACTGACAATTAAAATAGTCTGAAATGTTCGGGCGAGTTATTTTCCCCAGAGGTCCTTAATGAATCGAAGTACAATTGCTAACGATCTGAAATCTCTTCGTATAAAGAGCAGTTTCAAAAGCTTCGACTAAGAATATTTAACATAAAAGACGATTGACCAAAAAATTGTTTTCTTTACGAGTTAAATAATTTATAATAGTCTGTGTAATCTGTTAAACTCAGCATTTACTTCCTACTCCAAGCGGAAGTGACGACACGAACGCTACGGTGACGTCACATCAATGGCCGGTCCCTTGAAGAACTGACACGGTTGTGTTCTTGGAGGAGTGATCAATTTCTGTTTTGTTATTTTCCTTCGAAACAATGTCTCATCAAACCGGCATTCAAGGTAAGTTTACAGGAAAATTTTTAGGTTTCTTGATTTTTTGGAAAGCCAGGTTTTCTCGAAGGAATTCGTTAATTTCATTATTACATCGAGCTCCGCTTACTTCGATCTTAGACGTCGTGTCGATTTTTTCGGAAGGTTTAAACTAAGTAACGCGGCTTTAACTTATCAAAGGTTCTGCTAAAAAGGTCATGCAACAGGCTATTAACTATGAATGGCAAAGATTGTTCCTGCTGTGAAATAGGTTTGATTGTGAATAGCAAAACAGAAACAACAAACTGGTAGCTGATGTGAATTGAGCTTAAAGGACAGAGATATTCAAGATATTGAGCGGAAATTTTCGCCAAGCTGTTTTGAATGATATAAATAGTATAGTTGGATTAAGAAGTGATTTATACAGCCTCCCTCTCTTGATTTTTTGTTCAATGTTATTTGCATACTAGTTTGAAAGATTTTTCCGCGGCATGGATGGTATGCACTGAACAACTTGTTAAACCTTCAAACACAGGCAGAACCCCGTGCGATTAACTATCAATAACAGCGAGTTTTGTTACACACTCTCATTAAATTTATCAAACTGATAAATCTAAATTTATATGGAGGAACAAAAATCGGAGATACAAAAATTGATGAAACTACGGACTACTACACTGATTTATTTCCCTTTACACTTGTCTGACCCCTCCTCCCCCCCCTTAAACAATATTTGTCAATAGCGTCATCGTGAATTGAAGCAAATGTGTATTTTGTCAAGAGGTGGTAAATTGGAAGTTTCCTTCAAATAGTTTCAGATAAGGAATTTAACCTTGTGACCCTTATGAGTCTCTAGCTCTCATTACAATATCAACCCCAAATCACACCTTAAGGGCCAGGATAATAAAGGAAGTGATCAATAACTGAGGAGGATCTTGATTGTTATGAACATGAACATGAATATGCATACTGATGTTTGGATGTAAAGGGTTACGTTTATAAAATATAACAGTGGGCCCAGTTTTATAAAGGGCGAATAATGCTATCCAACTGATAAATGGCTATCCAGCAGATAAGTGATTTTAAAACGTATGGCATTATCCACCGGATAGAGATTTCTCCTGTGGATAGTGTTATCTGAACTTTGAACAACTGGGGCCTGTTTACATTTATCTTGTTGCCAGCCATTAGTAAAATAATGCAATGAACTTATTTTCAAGTGTGTGTTCAATTAGATCATTGCAGTGATTTCTATCTTTTTTTTCTGGGATTATTCAGAGATTTATTGCAAACTTAACAGTTTAGTTATAATATAATCTTACCTTGATTGTATTTTACACAGCTAATGAAGAACTAAAGGCTATCTTTGCAAGAGCCAAAATGGGAAAAATAAGAGTTATTAAAGTAGATATTCAGGATGGTAAGTAATTGTTTTGTAAATGTTTCATTTATGTTTTTTGTCAATACTTACTTTTCCCAAGGTTACATATTATACAAAAGCATTTTTATGGGTTTAAGTTACCCAAGACCACAAAAATTATAATCTATACAGTTTCTTAAGATGGTACAACAATAGTGGTGCCCCAATTTTTGCAATAGTTCATAAAGAGAATTTGCTTTTATCAACTGAGTTGTTAGTGTAAGTTGGCCTCTGTAACAATTTTTTTAAGCTGAGATTTTGAGTTTTAGCCCCTCTTCAGAATGGAAAACAAATCCCTGCTATTGATGATACTAAAATTACCTTATAATACCCCTCACAGTCGCAAGATGACAATTTCTTAACAAACTTACCTTCTAGTTGATATTAGGATAGCACAGAGTGATTAGTTCTTGCAGCACAAACAAGTTAATGAAATCATGTAGCAGTGATTGCCTCTAAAATTTTGCTAAGCCTATTTCTTGACTCATTTTTTTCTTGAAAATTGGAAGGAGACAAATGCTAGAAAAAAAAAGGCTATTGAAACATAGCTTCAGCTTGGACAAGAGAATTTCCTGTTTGGTCTTTCATGAGTGTGGAAAAAATTAACTGAAAAAAAAAAAAGTTACCAAATAACAACCAAAATGATAGGGAAGCTGAACTTATGAAAAAAAAAATTCTACCATGATACACTCTGCATATTAGATACATACCTTTTTTCATAAAATGTATTAATTGCTTTATTGTATTGTTTTTTTTTCTTTTTCCAGAGCAGTTACTTTGTACCAGTAGTAAGGAAGCTGATGGAGACTGGGAGAATGATATCCTTGAAATGTTAAAAGTCCACTATGTTTTGATTTCAAAGACTGGTTGTTTGTGCTTTTTTTTTTTTTTTTTTTTTTTAAGAGAAAGAAAGCTGAGTCTGTCAAAGAGTGTCTTAAGAAAGTAAACCCTTTACACCCTAATATCAGTATGCATATTCTCCATACTGTTTTTCATGCATTTTTTAAGTTGCTGATAAGGAGAATTTGTCTAACCATCAAGAGCTTCTCTGGTTGGTTTTCATTTGCTTTATTTTTGTCACCTTAATGTGTGATTCAGGGGTGATTTTGTGAAGAAAAATTAGAGGCTAGTTACTCTTAACCCTTTTACTCCTGTTGGGGACCAAGACAGAATTTCTCCTTACAATATCAGTACAATATCAAGTAGACAAGTAATGAAAATAAAGAAAAATGTTAGTTTCAATCTTAAAAGTTGGTTCAATACCAAATTCTCCAAACTAACATCACAAGAACTGTGTGACAGACAGTTGGGAGAATCAGTAATGAGATCTTGGGATTTAAAGAGTTAAGGGTAGGTCATAGGCACATCATAGGCACAATAATTTACTGTGTGACTGATTATGATCAAAATGATAATGATGGTTTAAATGATTATGGGTTAGCAGTAGTTAAAATCTGTACTCATTAGCTAAGTGGCCCAGCCAGCAGGAGCCTATTGTGATTCCTTAGAATGAAAAAACAATGAATATCACTACTTCCTGCTGGTCAGGTTTCAATCCCGGACCTTTTGACTAGTAGTCCATGGCACTAGCCATTAGTCTGCCACATCTCCCTCAGAATAGCATCATAAACAATTATTGGATGAGGTTTTTGTAATATCCAGAATAATCTAGGTAGAGGAAGGGGTTATCAGCTAAAGCCTTTGGCTTCAGCTGATAACCCTTACTGAGACCTTGATTATTCTGGATATCACTAAAACTGAATCTATTAATTGTTTTATTATACATCGAACAACAACAAAAAAGAAAGTTACAATAGTGAGTGATGCCGATAATTTATCTCTAAATGTGTAAAAACATATAAATCAGCAAGCAACACAAAGGGTGTGAACTTGACATGACTACATGAAAACATACACTCTTGAACTAATCCCCCAGAGAGGGCACTACTAATGATCTACTAATGATCTCTTAATAACATGCAGGTTGGGGTTGTCTGTTATTTGTTGCTTTCAAACATGTAACTGCTGGGTTTATGTTGGATTTACTGTTAGATTAAGCCTTTTTAACCTAAACACATCCTTACAAAATTAATGCTATCACTTTTGTCATGCCACTGTAACCACAAGTTGAAATCACTTTGCGTAACTTTTACTTGAATAAATCCTTGACAGTTTTCACATTATGACAAATCAATTCTACCTCTGTTAGAAGAGAAAGAACCTTGCTATATCTTTTATCGATTGGACAGCCAAAATAACCAAGGCTATGAGTGGCTGTTTATCTCCTACTCTCCTGACTTTTCCAAGGTGAGCTAATTGCATTTCTAGAATTAGAATACTTGTTTGTGCTTTGTTGCTAAGCACGGACTGCTGGCAAAATTCACCAGCTGGCTTTCTGGACAGCAATCACCAAGAAAAGCATAAAAGGCAGTTTTGAGGTCAAGCACTTACAATCATTAATATTGAATGCTAATTTGTGATTAAAAATAGTTAAAAGTAGGTTGTTTCAAACGTTTGTGCCCTTTATTGAAAAATAAAAAAAATTGTTTTCCCAAATGTCTGGCCTAGTTAAGCCTTGCAAGTTAACAATCCATGTTAATGCTATTTCTAGTAGCTTGCATATCTCCCTTTGTGTTTTATGACATCTTTCAGACAGCATGGCACTGAAAGTAGCTATTTAAGGTAGTGGGGGAACTTTTCTCTAAGCATGGCATTGCCACATTTTCAGTCTTCCCATTGTCTTAGTGTAAGCGAGCATCATGCAGCCGGATTTGAAAACCACAAAAGCTCTGCTGAGTCCACTTTACGCAGAGGTTAACTGACGACTACAGTAGGCAGAAATTTTCAAGCACAGATGACAAATTCTAGGTGTCAGTGTTTGTTTTTATCTAACCTGATACCATTAGAATAAAAAATTTTATTCTAGTCCCCAGTTTCATTTCTTAACCCAACACAACTAAGAAATGGCAGGCTGACTGTATATGTAACAACTGCAAGTATTTTATTCATGTAGCCTCAGCGGAAGATGTTGTTTGCTGGAACAAAAGCTACTCTGAAGCAGGAGTTTGGAGGAGGTCATATAAAAGATGAATTGTTTGGAACAAATCAAGTATGTAATATTCTGTGTAATTTTAACCTACTCCCAAAATTTCAGTAGAAAATTCTCCTCACTGTCTGCCATACAAGTCTTTGGATGTTAGTTCAGAGAATTTGATATTTGATCAACTGCTTATCCTAATAATTTATATATTTCTTTATTCTCACAACTTGTTTGCTTGATGTTGCATTGAAATTGTAAGGAGAAGTTTTGTCTTGGTCACACGTGGGTGTTAAAGGGTTGGGAGTGTGAATTATAATCATTAGAAAGAACTTAACATTTAACCCTTTACCCATGAGTGACCAAGGGATGATTTCTCCTTACAATATGAATACAATATCAAGTAAATGAGTGATGAGATTATGAAGACATACATTGTGTATCAACTAGAGGATTATTACTTGATCCAATAGCAAGTTCTTCACAGTAACATCACAAGAATTGCGTGGCAGACAGTAAGGAGAATTACTAATGAGATCTCGGAAGTGAAAGTGTTAACGTTCGTGAGGTGATACTGAGCTGTATATCATCCATTTTAGGTCTTTTGGCTCTGATGAAAACCTCTGCTCAGTTTGTTGAAGTGTTAGTTAACCCTTTAACTCCCAATAATTTTCTGCACTATATCTGTCATACAGTTCTCGTGATGTTAGTTTGGAGAATTTGGTATTAGATCAATTAATATTGTATTGATATTGCATGGAGAAATTCTGTCTTGATCACTCATGGTAGTTAAAGGGTTTAATAATAATCCTGACAGCAGTTCTTTTTAAGACTACTCTCACCCAACCACCCACATGCTGGAGACTGCTCAATCAACTACCACTCAAGGATTTAAATTGCAAAACAAAACAGCTTTATGGTTGTGTGATGTAATTCAAAATACAATAATAAAGAAATTATTATCAACCCTATAGTGCCTTAGAGTCATAAGATTCTAATGTTTCCCAACAGTCTTACCCCTGGATCAAATATAAGAGAATGAAGGATATGATTGAGAAGCTGTTGATTGTTAAATAAATTATCCTTGTCAGTACCTTAGGAAATTTATGGCGAACAGTATGGAGAATCTGCATACTGATGTTAGAGTGTAAACAGTTAATTGTATTGGTTTAGTTTTATCGACTTCATGTGCAGTTAGACCATTCATTTTCCACACAAAGAAAACCTGTTTGGGCACACCAGATGCTAATATTTCATTAACATGTGACTTTGATTTTTTTTCATCAGTTTTTGTTTTTGTATTTTTTTAGTCTGATGTTTCATTAAATGGATTCAAGAAACACAAAGCTCATGAAAGTGCCCCACCTCCACTGACTACCCAAGAGCTGGAACTTGAAATGGTGAAACAGCAAGAGGTAAGAGATCTGATATCCTGGAATTTTGTTTTGAATGCAATTGGCCATGTTCTGAACGAGCATGGGACTTGAAATCTGGAAATTGAAAAGTTTTGTCACTGTATGGAGCTTTTAAAATGTGCATTGAGTACAGTGGCTAGATGTTTTTGTTATTTGCTAACTTGCAAAGGCAGGTGTGATACACACTTTTGGAAAGAAACAGTTTAAAGAGGGTTTTGTTTGGTTAGCTGTAAGGTATGTTGTACTTATTGTCAATGGATTCCAAATCATGATTTCTAAGCGCTGGTCAGGTGTTTTGAACTAGACACAAAACCTTTTCACTCCTAGTAGTGACCAAGATGGAATTTCTCCTTAGTGTTCCAAAACAGTTTCAGGCTGGAGATGGTCATCTTCAGGTGTTTTGAACTAGACACATAACCTTTTCACTCCTAGTAGTGACCAAAATGGAATTTCTCCTTACAGTTCCCAAACAGTTTCATGCAGAATGGTGTAATGAGAAGATAAAAACAGATCAATTATCAGATACTGTATGAATTCACACCAAATTCTAAGATTTAAAATAATATGAAATGTATAGCAGACAGAGTATTTAGTTGAAACAGGTTTCAGGAGCGACAGAGTTAACTCCCTCAGTGTCTCATTCCACCCGGGAGTTTTCAAATGAATACTGGCTGTTTACAAGTGGCTACCCGCGAGCTTGCAAGTGAGACCTTGCAAACTGAGGAAAGGTTAAACTTTGAACAGTTCTTCTTTTCGGCGAAGTCCGTCGCTCGAATCTAAAAAGATCCGCCAAAATATGACTTAAACTTACATTGCGGGACTGTGGGAGTGAGGCACCTTACTCCCTGAGTTCTGTGCACTTTCATGTTACCCATTTATTCTCCCAAGGAGAACATTAGATCTTGCCCTCAGTAGTACACCAGCTTTTCATTATCTTAAATGTCATGGTTCAAATGTGCTAACAAGGTTTCTTTTTCTTTTTTGTCCAATTACAGATGCGAGCAGACATCAGTGTAGACAGCAAACAGAGTCACATGACTGGTGTCCAGTTTCCAGTAACTGATGAGGCTCGGGCTAAACTGACGGAGCTCAAAAATAAAAAATTAAGCTTGGTCCAATTAGTAAGTTATACGTTATTACAGAACTTCGGAAACAGAGTATCGTTAACGTTTTGTGTTTTTGTGATATTGTTTCAGCTTTTCGGGCCCGTGAAGTTACAAGGACGTGCTAAAAAGGGTCCCATTGCGAAAATGCATGCTTTAAAGATCAGGAGATAAGTAGTTTTAAAATTTAGTAATAAAAATAAATCTCTTTTTTTTTTTCAACAGGAACTTAACATAAAGAACGAAACAATTGTTCTTGCGGAAACCAAGGAGAACGTTCATGCCAACGATTTGGCACAAAATGTTCCTGAAGACAAAGGACGATATGTTTTCTATCTTTTTAAACACACCTTTGAAGGCGACTTCTTGGAATCCATAGGTAAGAAATTACCAATAACGTTGAGTAAATGAAGGGGGTGAGTTTCTTTCCACCGCGTTAGTGAGGGAGTATAAATGTAAATTGTTTATTGTAAGGATTTTCCAAAGCTGACATTTCAAGCTTTAGCCCTTTGCTCTGACGAAGGTCTAACGCTCGAAACGTCAGTTTTAAAAACTCTTTACGGTGGAAAATTTACTTTATCGACTCATTTGACAAGACCAAACGATTTAGCCATGATCGTAAATTAATAAAGAGTGTATGATCTGA